CTATAAACCTGATTTGTGAATTGGTATAAACTACTAGTTAGATGCACGTGCTATTAGCGTAGTTGGGTACGTATTAGCATTGTTTTGAAAGCTTAATGTAAGAAACAAAATCAAACATTGGAAGATAGATTTTAGCATTTTGTAAAAGTGAAATAGTATTGCAGTTATTTGTAGTAATGTTTGTAATTGTAGTTATATTGAAAAATTGATTTGATGTTGTACTCATTGTGACTGTATTAGATTGACGATTTGAAAATGTCGTAGAAAAGGTATTGCAATACTTTTATGTGTTATTTAAGCAAAAAACAAGTATTTACATTATAGAAATTAAATAAGTTACAACTGCTACAAAGTCTGAATAGTTAAGGAATGAAATTTGAGATAGAGATGTTATAAAAGATGCCGTTAGTAGTGTTGTCTAGACAAAATGAAGAGAAATATAGTGCTTCATATTAACTAAACATAAAATATGAAGAGGCAAAATGTGGAATTCATGTAAGTATCCAACTGCCATCGGTTGGACTGACTTTGTAGACTGAAAACATTGGGATTTCATCGTTCACAAGTTCAAATACGCACGTGTCGCCTATTTGAAGTTGTTTATCTGTAACGTAAGCTGACCAATCTACAGTGAAATGTCGTACATCACCATTAGTTCTTAGATTTGTTCGCACTGGCCAATTGTCGTGTGAACAATCATGTATTTGTATATTCCTGAGACGTTTTTGTAGATGTAATCGAGCGAAAGTCCCGGGCACATCCTATAAAATAAATTGAACAATTTATAAATATCTAAATTTAGCATTAGGTGAGAGAATGAAATGGATAACTACTTGCATTGATATAACACAAGTAGATGATAATCATAGAATTTACAAAATATTGAATTTGAAGAAGAGCTTACAATTTTGCGATGACCATCTCGATTAGCTTGTAATGTTAATCGGAAAAAAGGATTGCCATTAGGTGAAATGTCATCCTCAAATGTCTTTGACTCATAGGTTATTTCTATGCCAGAATCCTCAAATATTGATATATCGAAAGTGGAATTTCCGTCGAATTCCAAGACAATAGCATAACCATCTTGTAAATGATGGTGGTCATAGAATTGTGGTCATCCACCAGCAAGATATACGCTATTATTAACCCTTTCCAATTGGATGGTGCAGATAATTCCATCATAACCAATCAAACGTACTGCATTGCGAAGGTGATGTCCTGCACGACGGACAAAAGATGCAGGAAGTGCCTGTAAGAAAAAAGAGTTTTAGTCATAAAAAAATGTTATTTAACTTATATGAAAATATATTAATAGTTATTAAACGTCAAGAAAGAGATAATTTGAAGACATACCAAACGACGATCATGGCCCAATGAAGTTTTTACCAGTTCAATGAAACGATGTGGTACATCATTTCTATTCGACATAATATTCAGAATGAACAGTAGATGTTATTTACACAAAAATTAATAAGACGATGTAATAGTTAACCTTATGGAGACAGACAACATTTTGTATCATCACTAGGGGTGTCCAAAAGTCCCGAACCGAACCGGACCGAATCGAACCCGAACCGAACCGAGCGGTTCTTCATAAATTAAATACCTGAACGGGTACCCGAATCGAGAACCGACGGGTTTGGGTCGGGTCTCGGGTCT